GTGAGTGAGTGAGTGAGTGAGTGAGTGAGTGAGTGAGTGAGTGAGTGATTATTTCTTTAGTTATAAAAAAAATATTCACGGGATGAAACATTGGCTAGAGTCCTGATTTTGAAGATGACATTTTTTTCGTTCAGTTCCTGATTTTTATAATTTAAAAATAATATACATCGCTATAATGGTATCAATGTAACAGAAACCATTTATTTTATTTTTTTAGGTCTAACAGGACTTCTCATAGACATACCAGATTCAGAAAAAAATGTTTATGTAATAATAAGGACAAACAATAAATTAGTTTTTAAAAACCTCTTTATTTTTTATTGGTGAAAAAAGAAAACCTTAAGCAATCAACAGGGTAATGACTGGAGAATAAAACATTCATAACAAGCAGATAAAAGCAGCATGAAAAAAAGCTTCGATAACATTTTATTATTTAACTGTAAATAAAGCCATATACACTTTCACACGAAGTACAATCGTAGTTTTGTAGTAACTTTAAAAATTCATAATTAAATATTGTACATAAATATAAAGTTGGTGATGCTGCACGTTTCTTTTGTGGTTGTGACAAAATGGGTACAAAATTCATCTCTTCATTTCATTATTTTATATTTATAATGATGTCACGTTGACTGAATAAATTACTAATCATTGTTAACAGTAATAAGCTTTTCATTTTATTACTTAATTTATTCTTGATAGTATGCTTCATTAAAATTCGTATTGTGGAGTGAACGTTTGAGTTTGCTTTTTCCGATAAGTGATAAGTGTTTTTTTTTATTTCATTATCTTTTTAAGTGAATTGCAATATATTTAATCCAAGATGACAATTGAACAATATGGCCGGAGCAGGTGGAAGGAACAATTTTGGTGTTTTTGCAATGCTATAGCTACCTAATATATATATATATATATATTTTAATATTCATTTATCAACTCGTGGTTCCAATGAATAACTGCTAGTAGCAGTGATTTTGTTTTCTCATACGCTACTGTCGTTGGCAAAACATTAGAATAACGATAATTACACGAATAATTCGTACTTCAAATACAAAAATACGTACAACAAACGTGTTATACACTGGAAATTCGAATAAAAATAATGATTTATAAAAGGTGTACATATAGTACGGTTGTAATATTTGTTTTGCCAGCAAAATCACCCGTTTAAATTTCAATTAGAAATTACCTTGCACGAGCAAATTGTAGTAACCATGATGGTATTAATTTGCAAATAAAGCTTTTAGTCTCACTTTCATAGGGACACTTCAATATTGACTTAAAAAAAATGAAATGATCACATGACTTCGCGTTGCGCTTGCTTATGTTGTTTTTCTAAATCTTAAGTCGACAAAACGATTTACTTTTACGCGTTTAATTATATATACCATATTCTCTTTAGTTTTTTTTCATATTTAATTATTTTTTAATTATTGTAGATCACAGACAACTTGTTCTTAATTCATAAAAACAATTCAATTATCTTTTCCCATACGTAAAAGCACGTGTTATGCGTGTGTTCTGTGTATATGGTTCGTATCGAGTGTTAAATATAATTTTTAATACATGTTATATATGTGCGTCGGACGTATTTTTTTAATTTCAAGTTTTACATACGAAGGACTGACGACATTTTTTGCAAATGCTAGTTTAATACATCGAATTTTGCGTGTATTCATCGTTTCATAGTAATGAAACATTTGAGCTGTTAATAGCGCTATTGACATTTTTTTAATATGATAGTAGCGAGTATACATTAGAAATGAAACTTATTGGACGATAAAAGTTATATGCAAGTGTGATAAATGAATTTACCTTTGTTCAGTTAGAAGCATTGCTCTTGTTCTTGAAACATTTGAAAAAGAAATGCAGTACATTGTCGAAAGTTTGAAACAATTTTGACAAAGTTTATTCAAAAATAGCCTTCATTTTAAATCCTTAATATATCTTATATAGTTTATTTCTCATTAGAAAAGCGAAAGTTATCTCTTTTTAGAATAAGTTTACATTCGCGCGCCTGTATACAAATATACTTTTAGAATGTAAGGATTTAGAAAAATGAAATTTGCCAAGCTTTCATGCATAAATGCACAATTATCGTGAAAGTTCATTGTTATCACGCGCAGTATGACCGACAGTACGCAAAGAGTAGATGGGAAAGAGTATACCTTGGAACAACAGATAGAACACGCGTGTCTGCACAGACGAATTTTCACCTTCTTAACATTATTTTGTTTCCTTATGTTTCTTTAGTAATGCATTCTCGCGCAAAAAATTTCATTGAAATGCTCTTTTATTGTTATGCACTTTTCATTTGTGCATACGGATAATTGTTATAATGAATGTGTTATCAAGTTACGATGTGAACGATAGAATACAACAATTAATTAAGATGAATTTTTTTTTGTATATTTTTTAAGCTATTAAAAATATAATAATAATAATGCTCAACGAAACGTGTAATTCAAGTGTTTTATCAAGTACCTAATATTTTCTTTTATCCTAAATTTTATCGTTCATCACTAATAATTACATTTTCCATCGCAAAATAAAAGCATTGTGAATCTTATGATGCATAAGTAGTGGTGGAGTTACAGTTTTCACACAAGCTTTAGCAATCATCTTATATTACATGTTTTTTCTTAAATTCTCTATGACTGTTCAACTGTATTGGTATATTTTTCATCTTGTTCATCATTTTTTCTGCAAAAGTAAAAAATTTCAATCGAATTTACCAAATCCTATTTTTTATACTTTTGAATCATTGACTATCCAATCTCTATGTATATTGACTTTGATACTAAAATTATTGCTCGACTACTCGGAAAAAATCGAGTAAATAAATATTAAATTTGATGTCTAGTTAAGCCAAATTGTTTTTACTATACAAAGATCAATTTGGTAGACTAAATTGAACTTTTTTCCTTTTTCAACTAACCAGGCAACAATATACGTTTTTCACATTTTTCTAGTATTATTATAATTTATTTATCTATGTAATATTCACCATGTTCTTTCGCTTTTCCACATATCAAACAGTGCTGCGTAATAGTATATTTATGTATAAATTGAACTGTATACCGTCAACTGTATCAATCATGTTCGTTATATTTTCAAGATAAATTTTGAAATAACATCGAATGAAGATGAATCATCAAGAGATTTTGATAAGAAAGGCAAAACTGTTTTTAATCAATTCACTCTCTCTTTCATATTTACGGCAATAAAAGATTTGATGTTTTTATGTTTAATTGATTTTGTAACATGACCGTTAGTTAGCATATTAATTTTCAAGAAATATAAAAGAATCGCACGAATCAAATAGTCCATTACAAATCGAACTAATTTACGAATTCACGAATCAGTGCAACTTTTATATTTAAAATTTTCTATTACTTATTTACTTATTTATTTCATTGAAATTGATTATCCTCGTGTTTATTTTTTGTTATTCATGTACACGCACGCACAATTATAAGGTCCATCAGCGTCGTTACACTGAAAGAAACTCCCAATATTTTTTCCATTACATGTGACTTGTTATTTCATTCGGTTGTTCTCCAAATAAAGTCGCAATCGCGCGTTGAACACATTGTGGGGTGTGTCGATCATATATTTATTTATATTTTATTTTATTTATTTTTGTTTCATGTAAGCACGCATTCTCGCAGCAGGAAAATTCAAAGTTTATATATTATTATTTTACAGTTACACTGAGAAGAATTATAAACAACTTAGATGTGCCAAAATGTTGCATAGTTTTCAAATTTTGTCACGTTTACATATTGGTGTAGCTTTTTTAAGGGCAAAAAAGTTATTGAGAGTGTATCACGGCGATTTTTTTATAGATACGTGTGTATATATATATAATTAAGCATTTTTATTCTTAATGATATTGACCGTGTAAAAATGTTCCTTCATATCGCCCAAGCAAATCGTTATATATATTTATATTTTATTCATCGCTCATATATATACACGTATTTTATTGCTTCTGGAAAAAATATCTCGCAATCAAGAATTTTTTTATAAATATTCCGTTTTGTAAAATGCACAGTGAAAAATCGTGAATTTAAAAATGTAATATAAGAATTTATTATATATGAAAACAGTGCTTTCAGTTAATTTTTGACTGTTTATTACAATCCCACGCTTAATGAAAAAGAAAATGGAAAAAAAACTAGGAAAAGAAATAGTAGATTACGTACCCAGGATGGAAAAGTATTGGTAAGCACGCGAGAATTGACATAAATTCTTACGTATTATATAGGCTTACCAATTTTCCGGCCGTGGTGCGTATACTATTTTTTTGTCCAAAGGCCTGAGAGTAACATGTATCGGCATTCTTAGCTTCGTTTCGGGTGTCAATTTACATGTGCTATGGACTTGCCAATACTTTCGCAAGCTTGGGCTGTAATTTATTAGTTTTTTGCTCAGCAAGGCCAAAATTAGCATGTTACCGACCGATTATCGAGTTCGGGCCAGGATATGCTACTTTTGGGCCACTGGACAAAAAAACTAATTGCTTTAGCCGTAATCGTCATATATATATATATACAGTTCGTCTTAACAATGCCTAATGAATAAAATGTCATATTTTCAAGCTTGTTTATTTTAATTAATTCAACGGGCACATCTTACGAGTTTCTCATATAAACATCGTCAACAACAGCTGTCAATTAAACTATCTTGCAGTTTTTCCTCCTCTGTATCTAATTCAAATGTAAAAACGGCGGCCAACCGTCGCTCGTTTCTCTCGTTGTTTTTTTTCTGATGTAACCTTGCAAATTATTTTTGTTCTTGTCTCAATTCTTTTTTTAAAATATGCCTCGTATGTTGTTTCTTTTTTTATTTATTGAAAAGGTAAGTCGAAGTGCGCGTTCCCCATCGCAATAGAGACGAAGAGAGAAATAGAAGAAAATATGAGATAAGGAGAGAAAAATAGAAAGAAGTTGTGCAGTCGTATAGCCGCATGCGATGATAAGTTTCTTCTTTTTTTTCTTAGCCCAATATCGGTAATTAACGGGGCTTCCATGAAATATCCCTCAAGCCTTGGTATCGACGCTTCAAACTGCTGCCGTCGGACCAGGATGCGTTGAGATACTCGTCGTCATCGTCTTGCTCAAGCTTCTGCAATAAAATAATTTTCGTTAGAATTATAATACATTCCTTTTGGTATTTATATTATGGCAAATTTCCAAAAAAACAATAAAAGTCTAATCAGACTGAAGAAACCTAACTTTTTTCCTAAAATCAATTAAATCTGCCGTGATCGTATACAACCTCAATTCATCAAGTTAAAAATATTAAATATTAAAATATAAAAGAATGCCAGTTCTTAAATTAAATATTCAAAAATCGATTATAACATTCAAGTTTATTTGTATGATCTTTGCTTCCCATGACGAATCTTTTTTATTTGGCCTAATAATTTATTTGTGAAAGAAAAATACAATAATTATGATTGGAAACTACTGGTATCTAAATATTCTAATTTGTCCTAATCAATGCAAATCTCTAATCAATGCAAACTCGTTAACCTACTTTTGTATTATTTTCAACTCATAGTATAAAAGAAAACCTAATTGTTCGTGTGCTCCAGTGCTTGAAAATACATCCACACATTCTATACTAATTCACGCCAGCACGACCTTAATAGTCTCATAGTTTCGTCTCTTGCAAGTTCACAAGCGAAAGAGAGAGAGAGAGAGAGAGGGAGAGACAGATGACCTTTGCTTCAACTTAATTTAATCCGAGGAAGTAGACAGGCTGGATTAAGATGCGTTAAGCAGATTGGATACTTTGTTGATTATACACTGACAGTTTAATCTACTGCGCATAGGACAACTGATAAATACAAGTTAATATTACTAAACTGTCGAGAATATATTTGGTTATAAAAACTCATCCGCAGCAGCAAACGAAGTAAAAAATGATACGAGACATGATTCAATACTTAAAGGAAATGTATTCAATAAATATCCTGCTGGATTGGAAATAAAATCAGAAAGTTCATAATGTCAATTTGTATAGATATTATACAATACTTCGATTTATAATGAGTCCATAGAGAATAGTTACAATTTCTCTATTCTAATTATAGCTTGCATCTACTTGCATCTACTTGTACGAGCAATTGTAATCGTAGCTGCATGATCTTTCCAAAATTCATGAAAATATGATAGAGGACGAATATTTTTAAAGAGTGACATTATGAAATCTCAAAGTATCAAATAATAATATAATAGAATACTTAACAAGAAAAAAATGAACGAAAAAAGATCTAAAAAAAGACAGATGAACTCTAGTTAAGCTAAAAGAAACAACGCGGCCACGCGCGAAAGCATCACCTTCTGCAGCAAGTTGGCAAAGCCTCGTTAGCCGCAGTGGCGCGCTCGACATCAATCCGAAGCAGCAGTAGCAGTGTGCAAGTATGTGTAGGTATCTGTCGTCTAAAGAAAAGGACAGCAAGTGCCACCGGTATGCTCACATAAGTTTGGCATGGCCAAGCATATTTACTTCGCTTAATTTCACCTGCGACATTTTTTAGAGTAAACTGGATGACCTGAGTTAATAAGTATTATTTTAACAAACGCATGTTAAGCTATGCTTTAAGAGAAAAATGTTAATTAAACGATGTATGTGAAAGTTTTGGCTGTTATGCATGTAACTTGTGTATACGTACAATTATATCTCGTTCTTTAAAATAGATCATTTTATAGTTCACGACATACGGACAGTAAAAAATACGAGTTTATCACATGTTATTCTTGCAAATTTCAATTCAGAAAGAGACGTGTACTGACAATATCTTTTTTGTTAGTTAACTATTAGTGAGTGAAATTCAAGTAAATAAATTTATTTATTTAAAAGACGATGAAAAACCATTTCTACTGAACTGTATTGCGGAGTTCTTTGCTTAAGTATTCGAATAAAATTCTTTCATTCGGTTAATTGACCCTACAGAGAATCAAACTTTTACATTCACTGCCTGTAATATGAATTGTATTCAACGTTCATATTTTCCTTATTCAGTTCACGCGTGAGTTGACTGTATCTTGGATTTGATCGCATTACTAATCCACTGTAACCGAATCCCACTGTTGTTTGACCGAGAGTAAAATTTTGTTGTGCGTGTACTTTGTGTCAGTTGGCAAAGCTCAGCTCATGAAACTTTACGACATCCAGGACTGATACTTGGTAATGATGTTTCCAGTCATATTTCGGTCAATTATAAGTGGCTATTACGCATTATTACCAGTGATTTATGTTTGTTAATTATTTGCGATCTATCAGGTGAGTAACATTTGCTTATGACTGTTTATTGAGCTGTTATCGTTAAAATTATGACCTAATGTTGTTGATTTAGATTAATTTCTAGATTAATTCTTTACGCATAGAATATTAATTTTAGAATCACTGCTCTTCAAATATTGAAAGTATAATTATGAAAAATATACTTTCAACTATAGACCAAAACTAGATCTTCTCGCATAATACTGAAAAATCCTTGTATAACGCAATAAATTCTTTTCTTAAAATTTAAAATTCAAAATGAAAAAATGTTGTTTTGATGTTATGGTAAAATGTTATTGATCATTATTCAAGCTGCACGCATTACTATTTCATTTCTTCGAGAACTTTTTTGTACGTGTCTGGAAATATCTGCAAAAGTTGTCACTTTAAAAGCTTATTTTCCAAAAGTTGACTTACATTCACGGCGTTTTTACTTTTCTGTTTCTTCCTTTTTTCTGTTCGAACGCACGTACACATCGATAGACAGAAGGCTGCCTCTCCAGTAGGGGGTAAAGAATCGATGTTTTCTCGCGTCCTTGCAGCGATGGCCTTCTGCGCGCGCGTATAGAAACTGCACGACAACCAGATTTTAGACTAGATCGGGTTATTCGGGATGATGTGCGTACTAAACCCTCCGTTAATTTTTTTTCTGTCTGTTTTTATAAATTAAAGTAGCGAAATATTGTTATTCATATTTTACAATAATATACTTTATTTTACAACTGTTACTGTACTTTTTTACTATTTTGTGCAATTATGATAACATCTTTATGTTCATAGATTTTATATTTTTTTTGTTTTCGTTCTGTTGGCGATATTGTTTCTTGTAAACTTATCTTCAGTCATAAAGACACAATGTTTGAGTTCCAGTAACACTGTTCAGTTATTTTTCCAACAAAACTCTAACATTTTTTCTCGAAAAAAAGTTTAAATTTTAGTAGATTTACTAATAATAAAATTTTGAAAAACGAAGAGAAAGAACTGTAAATAACATAGAATTCTTTCAGACTTAAAATCTACGGCTAAGGATGTTATTTTTCTTTTAAACCTGATCTGCACAAACAAACGGAGAATTTTCCTCTGAAAAAACTGCACTAGCGCTTCGCATTTTCGACTGAATCATTTATTAAAAGTAAGTGAAAGGAGAAAAACAGAGGCGGTGAGAGCACGTGAGATGAAAAGAAAATTGAGTGAGAGATTCAAAGTTTTTCGCGAGCTAGTAGAATGGAAATTGGTAAGAGAATTGGTCCACAGGAAGAGGAGAGAAGAGGAGGAACAAAGGCAGCGCGAAAGCGAAAATAGAATTGGAAAAAACCAAAGAATACAGAAAATCTCGTACAACGTTAAAACTGATGTCGTTGAAAGCGAGGAATTATATTTTTGTTTGAAAACAAAATACCAGATGATCTCAACTGTAACAACGCACGTACCTAAATATTACCTTCTCTTTCTTATTTTTATGGAAATACTAGCAACAAATATTAAAAAAAGCGATTTGTCCACGAAATAAAAAGAATGTCAGTTTTTAGCAACCACGCGAAAAGGAAATATTGTGTGTTCCACACATGGGTAAATTTTTATAATGGCACCGAAAAAGAGAAAGATGATAGCTTTTCCATTGGCATTGCATATGTGTTTAATAAACTAGATCCACGCCTTCGCGCTCTGTTTCCGCGAGTAAACACATATGATGTAAATAGCTACTGCTACCACTCGCATACAATCTATGGTCATAGACGGAGACAACATGCTCGCGATAGTTAATGTTTGCAGTCTTATTGTCGAGCTTACACGCATATTGTGAATGATTTTGCAAGCTTGAGTTTCTACACAAATTGAAAATATCTTCATTTAACTTCAAATTTTGATAAATTTCGAACTGAAAACTTTGAGCTTGTTCTACTAACGAGCTGTATCTGTTAATGACTAGAATTTCATGACTTGTATTATTATGTTTAAAAAATGAACGATCAATTCAGATAACAAACCCTTCGAAACGTTTACTTTTTCATTGAAAGTAACTTCACAGTGTAGGTCACAAGGGATGTTTATTAGCACGAACAAAATTCTTGCGACTAATTCATTTCGCTTACGAAGTAGGGTAATAGCGAGAAGTAGGTTAGTCCGTTGCAAAAAAACTCGCAGACGAATTATGAACTTATTTTAGATCGCAAAGTTGAGGTAAAATCGGTGAATCTATAAAGTTAATGACATTAAACTGAACGACAAATTAATTTATATGCTATGACAGTCAGGTGAAGCTTGAGTTAGTATAATTTTGTTAGCAACGATCGCTTTATTAAATCTTTCTGTCTTTTTTTGATATATTTACGGAAACAACGTGGTTATATAGCTCTGTCAATGAGGTATTATGCGTAAATTTAAAAAACATTATATTTCAAAAGAAAACCAACGAAGTACTGTTAAACTAAAATTAAATTTTGTATTATTAAGCTCTTGCTCCAACGTTCATGCCAATTTCACTTCATTTCAATATTAAAAGTGATGCGAGTATGAATATGTAGGAAATGTTCAACCCAATAACCAACACGCGTCAATCTATTGATACGATTGATCGGGCTAAAATTATAGAGCGTCGCGAAAGAAAGCGATGCGAAGAAAAAGCGTTAGAAACTGTAACCCTTTTAACCTGGTCAGATAAACAACAAGCTACGAGGGATCAACCTCGTAAAAAAGCTAACGCCTCTATATTAACGGCGTAAAAACTTGCGCAGATACCTGTTCATTTAAGTTAGTTTCGGGCGTGAGAAATAATCGTGATTTCTACGTTTTATGCGCGTAGCTGCATTACGTTCAAGATAGATTGTTGTTATTGTGTTACCGACAGAAAAGAGTTATTTATCTTTTTCGTTATGCTTATTTTTACTGTCATTCGTCAGCTTTGGATTTATTCAGCAGCAAATACATCAATATACGTACATTCCAGGTGTCTATTTACGTTGATTTATGTCGATACATACACGGATGTAAATGTACGTTCAAACATGTACGTATACAAATGATATTCATCGATTCGATAAAGTTTCCCGTATACACATAAAATATATTTCAAGAATATCAGAGAAGGGTCTTATTTACCAAATAAAACTGAGAAAATGGTAAGAAGGATCTTTGTATTCAAACTAAACGTACGTACGTTGTATTGAAACGTATATTTGTAGAATATCGTTGTCTAGTGTAATTCAAAATTTTTTCCTCCAAGATTTACAAAATAAGGCCACGACAGCGTTATTTTGAAAATCGTTAAGAGAACACTGAGTACCAGTCAGAAATTCATTTGAATAAAAAGTTTAATAAAAAGAAGAATTAAATCTTTGATCATTGATGCGTATCGATACGCTATACGCGGGAAAAACGAAAGACAAAAATCTAACGACAAGCTGTCTAGGCAAATGACGCGGGTACATAGATCCTATATGTAATAATCTAGCAAGGGTAGTAGTGGTGGTGGAAACTCCAATATGGAAGGCTGCGGTACGCCTGCGCCCACGCCTGATTTAACGCTCGGATAGATCCTTTTATCATTCACGACCTACGATTATGCGCCTATTGCTCGCCTAATGATTGACTATTGCTACTGCTCTTCTCATTTTCCGAAAGCTTTGATTTACTTAGAGCAGCAAAAAAATGATATAGATCTCATTGTATGAGAGCTACGTATGATCATTGTCGAAACATTTTTTTCATTTGCCGACTACATGTTTTAAAAATTAAATTTGCAACTTTAACATTATTAATTGCGTATGGTGATGAATACGATATTTTTCTTTTATTTACTATAAATTTTAAAAATCAATTCCTTTAAAATTCATTTATCGATAGTAATTAAAAGCGCTACGTCAATAAAAGCTTTCAACATTTGCTCTAGAAATTTTTAGAAAAATTTCTTAAAGTGTTTTATCAGAACGGAAAACTAGTGAAAGAAATTATATTTGTCAGCAAATTTGAAATTTCTTAATTAGTAGATCTAGCATACCAAGCTTTCCATTTCTAACAGTTGTCGGTTTCAGCTTAAATGCCAATGGAATCCATCTTTTAAAAAGCTTAATTTGTTTAAGAGTTACTTTCAAATATTTGGCTTAAGTTTTGCATTATAAAAAAAGAAAACTTTTTCTATCTTTCATGGAAAAAAGTTTTCGTTTTTCAATATCAGATGCTCTCGTGAAAATATTTTTTTTATCGAGGAAAGATTTTCAGCAGTAAAAGTAAGTGTATTTATAACATATGTAGTTCAAAGAATATTATGGATAATTCGGGTTAGCTTTAGACACAAGTTAGCTTAAAGCTAATAAGTTCGTTCTTGTTTTGAAACAAAGTAAAGTTGAGAAGTATCTAATATTAGTAATAAATTTTATATCGTAAGACAAAAAACTATTTTAATTTTCCCTAAACTGTGCATTCTATAGTGATTCACATAAAAATCGAAAAGTTTTACTTAGAATATTTGATTTTTAGTAGAGAATTTTATAAGGCGCGCTAACATATAAGAAGGTAAAAGATTTTTTTTCAAATGGTGCTGCCTTATAAATAAAATTTGTTGAGAGCAGAAATAGTAAGAACTTGTGTACTAAATAAAAGGATAAATATGATGATAAGGACCGGTGAGATTTATTTATAAAAGAACTTCGGAAAATTTGCCATAGGTGCGATATATGGTAGTTCAAATTTTCTGACGAAAAGTAGAAGTGGATTTGGTGAGATCCATTTGTAGGGTACTGAAAGTTTTTATTAAGAAGTCAGTATGTTTTTTCGCTGTGGTGCTCACTGTACTAACGAACTTGAACAATGAAATATATCAAAGGAAATTTGTTATTTATTCTTATTGGTTATATCACAATAAACCGATAAAACATTTCCAAACTCCGATATATATCTTCTCGACAAAAACGGCCGATATAAATGAGGGATAAAACGGTTTTATGAAAGAAAAATATAGAACTACGTTCTTTGATATAGTACTCACGCAATAATTACATCAACGGTGACGACATGCTAAGCGAATTATCGTACAAATCGATTTTAAACTGTTGGCAAGCAATTGACCGAGTTCTAAAGGAGCAAACGAAAGCCGCACGCACCAAGACACTTGCTTGGCTGCTGTTACCACGACAACGTAAAAGCTCAAGCCTATATAATAACATGTCCACAGTATTACATAGTTTGATAAGGTTTCCCTGTCAATCTGCTGCGTGAAAGCGTGTTTCGTCTCGACGATTCTCTCATCAAGGATGAGCTTACTAACAGGATTATTATATAACTTGGAAATTTAGAAATAGTCGGTAATATAACTTTTCGTGATTTTAGAAAAAAACAAGTGTTTTGTAAATGAGAGAAATGCAAAAATATTGATTTACTTTGCTGACAAAATGTTTGAAACAAAATGCGAAAATAGTCCGACCAAAAATAATTCCATTCTTGAAAATATGACCTGCAATCTAAAGAAATATAGTCACCAAATCGTAAGTTATCAATACGCCCCGCTGTCCAATCTCCGAACATGTGTATACACACACGACACATATACGGAAATGTTTTTCCATTTTACGATCGATTTAGTGCTTTATCGTCGCTAAAATTGCAAGGGCTAATGAACGCTAGAAATCCGTAGCAAGACTCGATCAATCATAAAGATAGAAACAAAAAATAAAACTACTCGGATACAGTGACGTCATGATTTCGAAAATTATCCAGAACGTAACGAAGCAGACATTTTTTTGCAGTAATGACTTTAGAAATGTTACTTGTCCTTTTGCTCGTTTCTATGAGTTTCGGTGACAACCGAAAAATGTATTTTCTTCTTTTACTTTACACATAAAAATGGTCTTTTATTGAGCTTTAAAAAACATCTACCTGAAATTTATTTTTTAAGGTACACATTTCATAAAAGCATTGTCGACTTATTTCGAAAGTTTGTTTTCTAGTTTACTGACATGGGCAATTAATTGTACAGAGATAACTCAATGCGTCCTTTCTAATATTATCGACGAAAAATCAATAGTCTCTTTCATTATAAAAATATACACGGTTCTGTGTAACATTGAATACACTGGTGGCAATTTCTACATGCGATATGAATGTAAACGCGATATGAATGTAAACGCGATATTGTTATCGTAAATATTTTCACTCTATACTTTTTTGACTGGATTTCGACTCTCATTTCAGAATGGAGACATTTTTCATTGATATTTACACAAGACTAAGTTATTAACTAAGCTTCCTCTTGAGCTTATAATCACTTACGTCAGCCATTTTCATTCAAATTGTTATGTTTAAAGCTAACTAATTTATATTAATGAAAATATTCAACTTATATTCAGCTTACACAAGTTAATATCTAAGATAAGAACTTTGGAGCCCTTGACAAACTTGGTAAATTGCATCTGTATGTATCAAATAACAGTTAAACAAAATTTGAAAATCGACTTGAAGCTGACCATGAAATTCACAAAAACTCTTATTCCAACTGGAAAGACGTATATTATTTTCTAAGCCATGATAGAATAAACCACCATCTTTATCCTTCTAAAAAAAGTCTTACACTTGTACAGAGTATGCATCAGAGTTGACATCGATGCTATCTCTGCTAACTTCGTCAGCCATAGCAACTTTAATGTCATGCCCAAAGCTCGTAAGATTTTCTCGAAAGGCCTCGCTACCCGGAGTTATAGCACCAGAAGCCGGTGGTAGTGGTGTACCATCACCATCTACATCACCAGCTGCATCATCTCCATCTTGGGCACCTTCCTCGTTGTTTACCAATGCCACCTCGTCCTCGTTGTAAATCTTGAAGTAAGCGATCGTCAGGTAGATCACCGATATTATAAACGATGGTATCGGGATCGCCATCGCATACACCAGGTTCATGTATACCTGTCCAACAGACAAAGGAGGATTCATAACGTGGACTCAGCGATAAGATTCTTTTTTTTTTGTTGACGTTTGTTCTTTTCGTAATCGAGATTATAGTTTTAAAAGCAAGCAATTTTCAGTAATAAGAATAGAATTAGGAAAAATAGAAATATAAATCTCTAAAAACCGCGTTTGTGTAAAATTCAATCATTATTTAAATCGTTTAAAAAAAAATTTTTTTTACGCCAAACGAAAACGCGAAGATAGTGAACGAGCGAAATCAAAAAATAAAAATTGCGATCACTGTTATGGAGAAGTAGGTGTAGAGAGTTGGCGGTATATAGGCAAATGGATTATCAAACTATGCGTGCGTATGTGAGAAAGATAGAGAGAGAGAGAGAGAGAGAGAGAAACAGATAGATGTTCTGTGGGCTTGCCGCTGTCGTCGATCAACCGGTAATAAGGGCAAAGTTCCACCTAGTCACGTCTGCGAATTCAATTTCGTGGTTCTGCACCGTAAGAATTTTCACGCGCTAAGCTTCGTTGTTGTTTCTTCCGATTTAACAACCCTTTGCTGAATGGGAGAACTCTAGCTGTCTTTTATGTAGGTTAAGAATTATTTTTTATTGGACGAGTTGAATGTATGTGAGAAAAAAAACCTTCGGTAGATGCGGTTTGCATTATAACTGCAGTATATATTAATGTAATCGTAAATAATTACAACATAGCTGCAGAAACTAAGTCTCCGATTCATGAATCCGATTATCAACTTTAAGTAGAAACACATGCGTTCAGTCAGACTCGATAAAACTGTCGACGTTACAGAATTTATTGCAAAATGCAGTATCAAGCTTATGAAATATTCAATTACAGCGTGTTTCATTCTATCGACTCGAAAATAATAAAACGGAGCGCATTAAAAAAAGTACAGGATGGCAGGGAAAACCTATAAAAGAAGAAAGTTGTAATATGTGCGCGGACCTGCCACATGTCGAGGTCGCTGATGACAATTCCAGGATCGACTTTCGAGTAGTAACAGCTGAAGTTTTGGCCCACATTCGCGTATTGCCTTATGAAAATGGTACAGTTTAACATCGGCGGGTAGCCGCAGCCTTTAACGTTTGGGAACAACTTGGCCCCAGTGAAGTACCACTCGGAATCGTTCCCCATGAGACCTAAAGTTAAGAAGAATGTATCGGAATTGTTCTAACTTTTTCTCTTTTCTGCCTTTTGTTATCTATTTTAAAGATCATTCTTTTTATATAGTGGAGAAGATTGTGATTTACAGTTTTCGTAAAAAGTGAATAGCTATTTGAGCTCTTTGAACCTTGGCTTATTCTATAGGGACTTTATGCTCCGCAACAAAGCAAAATATTAAAATAAAATCGCACTAGTTTTCACCGCAACTTTATATAATTGAAAACGCGGATATTTACCATTTTCATTAATCATGGCAAATAAACCTTTTTGCTAATATGAGTAATCTATTAAATTACATCTTTTCATTTATATCGCAATATGTACAAAGCTCATATAGAATTTTTTTTGATTGATTTTCCACGCCAATAGGTTTACAATAATTCATTTAGCTAAAATGACATTTGTAATAATTGTCACTATTTGATCAGCGATATTTAAAATTATTCTGAACTAACTGAATTATGTTATAGATGGAAAAAAGTAACTACTATATGGTAACATCTGTAACAATGAAATACCTCGATAACTGGACCATATACAGAAGGTAAAAACAGAAAAAAAATAAATACCTGTCGGAAAAGGTTTGGGCAGATTGTTGTACTCCTCTTCATCACTGAACTCTTCGTCGTCGAGGTCGTCGGCGTATTCATAATCCCTTAGCGAACGCTCCAGGCGCGGCCTTTTACCAACGGCCTCGTCCCTCTCGACACCTCCTACGTCCTCATCATTCTCCTCCTTCTCAGTTTTATTTACGGGTAGCTTGTAATTCACGCGTATTTGCGTGCACTCGAACAGCTCCTTCGTACAACCTTCTCTACATGACGTCCAGGAGCAGTTACTCGTACCTACGATTTTTTCCCCATTTCGAGTGTTTCAACCATAGTTATGTGAAATTTGTTTGATGTTTTCACTGAGAGCTCTTTTATGTTTTTTTTTAACCAGACTGTTGCTTTTCTAAGTAGAAATATTTTCCGGAACATTTCATAGTATTATAAAGAAAGGGTTACTTGAAATCCATAAGTTTTTTGCAAAATAAATTAAATACGTAATATTAATTTATTTTATTGTTTAAATCTTTTATGACACGCATATTTTATTATCGATATAAAAACCGTTTTCATTCAAGAAAAATTGTATAGCGTGTGCTAAATGTAGCAAATTAATTTTATGAAAAGATTATTAAAGTAATAATATTTCTATTCAAATTCCGAATTTGAATATATTTTATAAACAAATCGAAACATCAATTCAAAGAAGACGATATATATCGAAACGCTTTAATAAATTATAAGAAAAAAAAATAAAAGAGCAAACATCAAAGAGATAGCAGAGCACATATAAGATCAAAGACCATTAGCAAAAAAGTCGACAAAGGAAGAAAGTAGCTTTAAGAGATTCACACATACACGACAAAAGAGAAAAAGAAACGTCGAACCAGTACATTTCGTAGAGAAAGTGAGATAGAGAGAGAAAAACACTGTGAGTTGGATATGAACTTGCGGATTCTCCGACGGCTGCAAAATTGCAGCGTTTTGTGTTATATGCACAAATTTCCACTAGTTTGTTTTTCAATAATAACAATCCAACTGTACATCAGAGTACCTTTCAAAGAATAAACACTTGAATTTTTTTTTATTTTTGTGAACGTCTACTTTATGATAATTATAGCATGTACGCGTAGGAAAAAAGTTTTCTTATTTTTATCCTTGCTGAAGTTTTATGATTAAATTAGCATTTTTCTTTACTATTTGACCCATCAAAACTATACGGAATGATAACTTTGCAGAAATTTCATTCCGTTTAATCATCAGCATATTTCTCATAATTATCCGAATTGGACCATGTTCCTCTTATAAACATTGCAATACATGCATCGAGAGATACATGCTTTGCGAATGAAATCACGCTAACATATAAGAATCTATCAATGTTATAAAGTGTCTCTTGTTATTGTATATCTATCTTGCATGACGTCAAAGCTATTTTCACGCTGACCCGATATGTGATCACATTAAGCCCGAATATTTTATTAGTCGCACTTGCGGAAGCATAAGATATCAGTGCCGATATATCTTTTCTTGATATGCCTTTCGTTTTATATATAAATATAATTTTGCTGTAATTGATCTAGATCTAGAAATAAAATGTTTATTGTAACATTACTTGTCGCGATCTAACCAAAATAGCTGTATCAGTCGACTGATTGTTGATTCGATCGTTCACGCGGAAATCGGATGGAAATTTAATTAAACCATTTATTCTCAAGGGTGAGAAAGAGTATGTTTCGACTAAGATGCACACCAAACTCTTGAAAATTACCTATAAGGTAGTATGATAAAAAAGGTCACTTTACGCATCTCAGATTTTCTAATTGTAACGTGAGGAGATTCTTCTTCTTTTTATTAGATGGGCTCTTATTCATACTTTAGCGTGTATCGGTGTCATAATCCCGCGACTACTCGTATATCATTTTAACAGCCTCCCATGGGAAAAATACATAAGGTTGATGACAAATTTGTAGTAGTATATATACTTCGAACGCCGATGAAATATATTTTCTAAAATTTATCTTGGAACGAGAAACAATATTTCTAAGTGGTTATTGGTTAAAACTTATTTAAAATTGGCTGCAACTCGTGTTACTGTTGTAATACCGTAAAGAAATTAATCAACGAAGGTCGCACCTAAAAAAAATGTACAATAAATTTGATTCCTCCAACGGACAAAAATAAATGACGAGTTATATCAGTCAACCGAAGGAAAAAAAGTAAATAGAAGTGATGGCGGATATCTAAATTGATTCTGATACGACCACGGCAGGAACGTGTTTTTCTTCATACATCCCAAAGGGAAATCACTAAAAACAAAAGAAAGCTAAATAGAATCAATTTCAAGGGAACATGTCACCTTCTTTTGTTACTTTCTCGAAGTAGGTACTTAACGAAGGGAAAGTGTACGTTAACCGATAACACACACACACACACACACACACACACACACACACACACACACACACACACACACACACACACACACGCACGCACGCACGCACGCACGCACGCACGCACGCACGCACGCACGCACGCACGCACGCACGCACGCACGCACGCACGCACGCACGCACGCACGCACGCACGCACGCACGCACGCACGCACGCACGCACGCACGCACGCACGCACGCACGCACGCACGCACGCACGCACGCACGCACGCACGCACGCACGCACGCACGCACGCACGCACGCACGCACGCACGCACGCACGCACGCACGCACGCACGCACGCACGCACGCACGCACGCACGCACGCACGCACGCACGCACGCACGCACACACACACATATATCGCTTTAGTAATGGTCTTTTTTATATTGTCATTGAATTTATTGATACTTTATTCAGGGTGCTTAGTTTAAGAATGCTTTATAAATAATCAAGTGTTCGATTTGATCAAATCTACTATATGTTTATCGAACATCGTAAACGATGACTAATATATATTTATGGCGTAAGTATTATTCAAACAGAATTGTCGAATAGTCGAATACTTTTATCTCTGAATACAACATGCTGCTATGATTTAATTTTCATGGAATTATGTTACTCTATTTTGAAATATAAAATACTAAGAAAAGTTTTATATATACTATCATTTTATTATATATTATATATATGATAGAAGCTTTATTACAGAACAAGTAAAAATTGCACCTAAATAAACATGTAATTTGCTTTAGACATTTCTATACTCATCAACGAGTGTGATTTACGATGGATCTATTTTGGTCGAAGCGCCGATTGATTTTTATCTGTTGATTTGCGATTTTCATTTTGTTTATTTTATCCACGCGCTAAAAGCTCATTTCTTGCCGTACTATCATTTTGCATGGCGTTATTAAGCTTTCATTCGTCAAACGTATAAAATCATCCACGGAAAGATAAGAGCTGAAGGATAACGATTTTATTGAAAGACACGAGATCAATTGATGGTACCGCGTGAGCTAGCGACTGATTGAAAGAGCTATTCCCATGAATAGGAATACGACCTTGTACTTGACCCACATGTCGTATATATTAAATGTAGTATCAGCTTGTCACGAGATTATGATATATTATCTGCTTGTTTGCAGTCGACTCATTGAAAAATTCAATTTTACGTGCGCGGGAAAAATAGAGCTAAATATTTTCTCTTATTTGGCGCCTAGTAACTTCTTTTTTTTCAAGTTAAAATTGTCAAAGATTCAGTAGTCGTTTATCGATACGAGTTCAAGTGGATACGTACGAGTATGGATGTAGGTTAGCCCATTGAACTACTTTTCTGGGAAGTATAAACTCCCCCTTGCACCGTCATGTTTGCCAAAACATTTCGACACTTTAGCATACAACAGCCTAGTGGCACATCAGAACTGTCTTATCCACCCTATCTTTGCCGTTTGGCAGTTTTCCTTATTGCCTTACTATTTATTTCAGAAAGCTCCTTTAGAGTTTGGATTATCCCCGAGGGAATGTTAACCTTATAATGCTTTATTATTTATGCGAATGCTTTGAGTAGTTTGCGATTTAGTCTAATTTTAGTTGTTACTTTCTATCAATATTACATTTGCTAATGAGAAACAATTGAGAAATTTAGAGTAAATTAATCTTGTCTCTATCAGTTGGGAACAATACATTCAATTTTAGTACTAATTCTTCATTCTTCAACAAAGAATAGAATCTTTTAATATACCTAAATAAATACATTTCTTATTGTTTAAAATTTTGTAAATATTAACCGGCTTCTTTACACTTAATATGTAAACCTTACAATATTACTTACAGAAGCCCATAATCGTCAAAGCTTTATTTTCCTGAAATTGATTGATTTTATTTTATTTACATTGCCTTTTATTTACATTGCCTACTCGTCACAGTGGATTTGATCAATATAATAATTAATAGTTAATAATTATGGTTTTCACGGCTTGAGCACATTGCTAAAAATCTACCATTACGATCAGTCCTAATTGTAAATAATGCTTAATGCTGCCAAAGAAGTTTCATGTTGTACGAAATATGTCCTCACGTTTCGTCTCTAATACATTTTCAAAATCATTGCTGCAGCCGTGAAAATGCTAATGTAACTTATATTTTTTTTCGTTGGTAAATAATAGTAGACATATTATCAATATAAATGAAACTTGAAGAAAGTGAGAAGGATAGCAATCATCATTAATACAAGTGATAAACAAAAACAAACAATTAATTAAACATCGAATATAAAACACCCCGTCAAAATCGTGACGACATTGATTGCATAAATACATTCAAGGTACGACATAAAAAGATATCTGAAAATAATGTAATTCGAGAAGCTTACGTGCAAGTAACTAAGCAAGCGTGGAATAAAAAAGAGGTCGATTTAAATTTCGTTGTTCTCTTCGGCACTACCTGATATAAATATTTTACAAAGTTTCACGAACTCTACGAAGTTGGTGGGCTCTGAGTGGCGACGTATATAAACACTTTATTACAACTTTGGTGCACAAGAGGCCTACTTGTAGCCTGTGAGAATCTTTCGCTAGATCAGCTATGCAAATTCAACTTACATCTTTATCGAAAACAACTAGTTTGCAAAGCTAATCAACGTTTATTTTTGATAACTTTTCTATTGTAATTCTTTACTTTTCTCAAATTATTAATAGTAAAACTAAAACTATCTAAATAGAATTACTCACATTTCTCTTGCAAATACAAGAATGTTGAAAGTAGAGATTGGAAGAAACCGAACATAAACTAAAAAAATATCGAAACGGTCTATTCAAAATAAACTCAACTTTACGTAATCCATAAGCATGGAAGCCAAGTGTAACATAGGGAGCAAGTGAGAGAAAGAAATGAAACGAGCTCGAGAAAGGAGAAAAAAACAGAATCCTGCGCAAAATACAAGGGTTTTTGTTTCGACGATTGACTTTGAGTAAGAAGAAAGGCAATACGCGAGATCTTGTGCTCTATATATTTATGTGAATTTGGAATGGTCATCACACCAAGAAAACATAATGATGGAGTTGCGTGTCGCCACAAAGTTAGTGATGAACTTTGTAGAAGTTTCATCAATTATTCAATTATTTCTACGAAAGACATCTATTAATAACATTTTTATTTTATTTTAAATCTTATTTCCAATTTAACTCATTCCCATGTTATCATTTTTTGAAGTTAGTATAATATACGCGGTAGTTCAAATACTTATTTATTCAACATTTTCTTGACATATCCATAACTACTTTTAGATTACAACAAAATAATAATTAATTATTAGATGATAATGAAAAGTACGTTACAAATAAATATTTCATAAATTAAAAAAAAAAACATATATCGATAATCTATAATTTCTATTTTAAAATTACATTAATTCTTTCACAGATAGCTCTACGTTGTATAATTATGGGCAAAGGAATAGAGAGAAATAACAGGAAAATACGAAGAAAGTATCAACATTAAATCGCAATATCAAAAGAATCAGTATGTAGAAAAAATATTTTTCATTTATCTTTTTTTTTTTCACTGTGTTAGTTCAATAAAAAAAATTAGTTTAAAAATTATTTATTGTTGATACAAAGCAATATTCATAAAAAATTAATTCTAAAATTTATTTAAATTATTTTATGAAGTGTAATTTCCTTTAAAAATGACGACGAGTTATTTAGAGCAGGAGAGATACGGAATTTCCAATTGGTATTAACATAAAAAATATGTATCTAACGATAATTTTTCTACATAATTTTAATCAACTGATAAAAAAAGAGACGAAAAAGTGAATATATTTTATGCTGAGGCCAATTAAAATTCCTGAGCCCTTACCTACAATGTCATTTTGTAGTCCATTATTATAATTTTTACGAAAAAATTTTCTCCGCGTTCGTTGGAACAAAGAAAATTTATTATTCCGCATAGTCTCTATAAATTACTTTTTGACAAATATAATATAATCAAACTAAAGTCGAACACAGTGTCAGAAAATTTTCCACAATAGTAAATGATTGCTAAGTAGGAAGAAGTATACTAGAAGAAGATAGTGAGAAACAAAGACCAACATCAAGTGGAGGAAGAGATATTAGAAAAAGCGAATTGTTTGTCGTGATGGTAATGATCACCTCGCCTGGACTCAACATCGATTGTAACGCATTCAGCGGGCCTTGTGTCGAAATCCATGAAGATGGTGGTGAAAGCCGGATCAATGACGAACGGCACTAAGAAGAGAAAGGCGAAGAGGCTGAAGGTGCCGAGGAGGATGAAGAACGCGGTCGTGTAGAAAAGTAGCTTCTCAGATAGCGTCTGCTTGTCAGCATTCTCTCCTTCCATGGTCAGGTCACCACTGCCGGACTACCGCGACGTCCCGCGTCGAGCTGCCCGGCTATCTGAATAACCTTTTGTTATTTCCAACCATTTTCATTCTGTGATTTTTGACTGTGCATTGTATTAAATTTCCGGATATTTTTATTTTTCTTCTTTTACTTTTGTTGATATTGCAATAATGTATTTAAATCAGACGAATTATTCGACATATATTTAACATAACTAGGATATAATTCTATTGGTTATTTATCAAACTGACAAAGATAATTGATCATACACTTGATTAGCGTACCATATTTTAGCCAAAATATATGTGATATTTATTACAAAACTGCCATGATAAATGTTATGAATGTGCAATAAATATTTTAAAAAATCACCGACTAAGTATAAATACATAAAAATATACGTATGAAGAATGAACTTAAAAGTAAATCACTGAAGAAATATTTGTTTCGTTATGTGACAATCACCTATTTAAAGCTAATCCACGACCTTTTTTATGTTTAAACTATTCGAAATGAATATACTATGCTATCAGAAAAGTACTTTTTACAATTTTCGGAACATATGAACCAATCAATCATTCAAGCAGCTTAAGGCCACGAGAAAATCAATCTTAGTTAGCTACACAGCGAATCCGCAAGAAAAAATACGTTCATTCATCTGTCAACTATTATATCTTTTTCTAATCCTAGTTTTAATCAAAGATGTTTTTGATATAGTTTTGATATAAAAGTTTTAATCACATAACAATAATAATTAACCTAATAATCAGATATTTGATATGTGTTAGGTTATTCTTTTTTATTTTAAGTTTACTTTCGCAGACATCAAGGATTATATAAACAAATAACTATCAACCATCAAATTGTGAAACTCTGATACAAATAACTACTTGCCAAGCGTCAAAAGTAATCTAGCTCGCGAGTGAAAACTGCCATTTCAACAGTTGAGTAAACGCACTGGATATAGCCATTGGCCATTCATCCTGTTCGTATAAGTTTCACCTAGCTGTATGCTTACTCACTTGCACATCTAGAGTTGTTAGCTCATGTGGCGAACATATAAAGGACCCCTACTGTGTGACTCTAAACTCTCTGTACAGAAATTACGATAAAACTGTTACTATTAACTTGCCATGCTTTTATTCTAGTATTTTTTCCGTGTATCGTTTTCGTTAACTCCATTCAAGTTTCTTTTTAAACTATTACTCAGTAACTGATGAGACCATTCCGAGTATTTGCTTTAGTATGGCAGTTCAAATATGAACAACGTTTGGAATTTACCAAATGAATCACTATAAAATCGATTAACAATTCTAATTTAATTAATGTGGTTGTCCTCACGGTAAAATTTGCAAGAATTCAACAAGCATACAAGAAAGTCTCCCAAATTTATCTGTTGAAGTTTGTAGATCGAAGTAGTGATTTACTCGTAGTTATCGACTATAAACAAAAGCATAAACTTTAATGTATGCAAAACTATCATGTTAGAAAAGTTCTTTTCACAATTTTCGGAACACACGAACCAATCAATCATTTAAGCAAACTAAAAAAGGTAAACATATTACCTATACATAGGCCGGATACATAAAAAAAACTTAAATATAAAACACTTACAGACTAAGAATTTTTATTTGTGCGTACATTTATTTCTTACAGTGGAGTATTGAATCAACTTTTCTTCTATTTATTGCTCTTTCAGACTTGCTTCATCACTAAAAGCTAATGAGCATCACTAGAATCTGATAAGCATTTAATACCCTTATTATGATTTGTGATATAGTCTTCTTCTTTTTTGTCTATATTTGTCATATGCTGATTTAGTTTCATTTTATTTATCCTTCCTAAATTATCGTAGGTTTTAGATTTCTTTGTTTTCATAATTCTAGTTAGTTATTCTTAAATGTGATCTATTCTAGGAAATTGCAGTTTCTTTGTGCACATATATTTGTCCGAATATCTAGCAATATTTTATCCAAAAAATCAATATCCTCGTGGACTTCTAAAGCAGTGTATTTTTTCAGCATACCAGTTTTCTACTATTTGTTTCAATTAAGCTTACCCCCCATAGTTTTTATAATGTTTCAATATATATTTTTTTAATTTGCTTTTTTATCTATTATGCTAGTTTTTAGATTCTTAAGTTCAAAATGTAGCTTGATAATGAACTTTTAATTGACACGATATATTAGCTAATTAATTATTTCAATATACAACATAACTGTGCAAATTATTATAGATCTCACAGTAGTGTGATGATAATGTTTTTAGAAATGAAATGTTGATTGAATGAAACTTGTGAATGAAATTGGTAATTAAACAAGAAATAAAAATGAAATATAGGAAATGAATAATTACCTTTGAAATGAAAAATGTATCATTTATTGTATTACTATTAATTATAGTATTTAACAGTACGATATAAATAAATTGGTTAACAATAATAGTAGCAGATCTAACTATGAAATGTCTAATAATAATATATTTTAATAGAATGATCCATTCAGCAGAAATCAAGTTCAAATACAAGTAAGTTACAACTATCCTCAGGCAAGAAATCATGTGAGTATGATATTTTTCTCTGGCTAAAGTAAATAAACTTCATTAATTAATCTATATTTTGAGAATCAGCCGCACCGCAGTAAAGCGTGCATAATCTTTTAATCGCTCTAATCCTTTTTCAGATGATATTAAGAAGTGACGCTATTTTTCGATAGATCGAGATTCAATCCTTTCTAAATGCTCATCGAATTCATGAATGGGCATTATTTATTCATTTCCTTTGGTTTTGAGATGATTTTAACATGGAATAAAATATATTTAATAAGCATGTTTTTGTTATATCAAAATGACTACGCACGTTAGAGTTTTCCATTTTCCTGCGTGCTTCTAATGAAGGTCAAATCTATAGTCACAGCCGTACATTCAAAATCAATAATATTATGACGAAAACCTACTTTACTTTTTTCTGTTTTTCTCAACTTAATGTGACGGATGTAAAGTCAAAGAAAGTTTTTAATGATTTTTCCAAGTTTAACAAATATTTATGAATTAAAAACTTTGCTCTTGTTATAAAACTGCCTTATTGAATGGAAAAATGTTGTGAAATAGGACAGAATGGATTTTTAGATGATTAACATTTCGCAAATGTACCAAAGACAGCAAATTTTGGAAAGTGTCCAATGAGCCCTTGAAGAACCTGACAACTATTAGTATCAAATATTTTCATTGCGCATTAAACTGACGTAATTTAAAAGTTTATCTCTCTTGCCAAAGCCTAAACCATTAAACTTATTTGAACGTTGTTACTTTTCAAATCCCAGACAGTTTTTCTAAAAAGTTTATAGTTATTTTCAAATATTTCAAGTGAAAAAAGCATCGGTTCTTCGATAAGGAAGTCTACGATACATTATGCAATTTTGGCGAGGCTATGGGAAGATAGAGAGAGAAAGGAGAGAACCCGTTTCATTCGCGTCACGTGCTCCACAATTTGTCGATCGATAGTCTCGCGATCCGCGCACGGGGCCTCCACCCGCCCATTCAACTGCAGACCCATGACCAACCAAATATATGTGCAAATACCACATCTATTCTCATCGTTGTACTCTGCGGTCGTCATTGAAAATAGATCTATGCGTCTAGTTTTTTTTCTTGTCTCATCAAGCTTTATCATGGCAGTTTATTTGGAATTCTTCTGACTTTTTCTGAATTCTTTTGATTACTTTTTTATTATCTTTATCAGTATGTTTATAGAATTCCGATCCATTTATTCTAATAGATTTTCTGCAGGTTTTCAACGAAACTTTGCTGACATGTCTATTACTACAATAGTCTTCTAAACTCAGAATGTCAGAATTAGCTGAAAATAGCTGTGTTCTGAGCCGTGATTTGCGAGTTACTAATAACAAAATGTGCCCGTTACATACAGTAGAATAGACAATGTTGAAATAAATTCTATGAATAAATTCGAAAAAGTTTCAAGTATTGTAAAAGATAAAATGCTACGTACTTTGAATGTTACGAAATCTCTAAGACAACGCAGACAACTTTTCGAACCAGAATAATTTAAGAATTCTTTTTTAAGGATATGACAAATTGATAACGGAGGTCGTGCAGAAATATTTAATCGATATTGAGCAAAAGTGCAGTATAATTTTGAAGCGTTAAAAAGAGATTGCGGCTTTCTGCTGTCGAATTGATAATATCATTTTTTGGATGAGAATTACTTGTCAACGTTCATGATATTCAATGGGAGTCATCCCAAGACCAATGAAGTATGTTTTATCCGTTCATCTAACCTCAAAATGCACGTACATCTGATGTTGCTTTTATTAAGAAACTAGGAAATAATAGCACTTTTTAGTAATCTAGCTCTTAAAGTTCCTAAAGCCATATAAAAATATAATTTAAAGCAATGTACATTACACTGCAATCTTTCCGTTACAAATTCAAATTGCTCGTGTTAGTCTTTCTTCAAAACAACGAAACAAACTGCTACTTATATCAATCAAAATCACAACACGGTGATCGAACGATCACTAGATAAATAGAAATGAAATATTTCGTCGTTTTCTTATTTAGCAGATAAGTTTACTCGTAGAAAACCTGCAGAATCGAGGAGAGAACATACCGCGAGCCCGTGACATTGATGCCCGTAAAAAGAAAGACAGAGAATAAGATCATCTTACCCCCTATAATTTAGCCTCGGGGCAACAACTACTCGGCCTTTTCCTACGGCTCCTCATGCTATCCGCCGGGGTCACTTGGTCAACACGACACATCATACACACGCAGATACACGCACACAGATACGGGAAATTTACGCACTCGCGAGACGACGACGACAACGACGACCTCGTTTACCGCGTGTGCGTGCTACGCTTTTTGTTCGACCACGAAAAGGGCGACGCACGCTGACGAGACGCCGGGACAGCACTGCGGACGACACGTAGCCCTGCTGGGCGAGCTTATTCCAAAAGCAAAAGACAGAGACAGACCGAGCGAGAGTGAACGAGGGTGGCGCCACACCGCGGACAAGCACACGCATCGACCGACAACGGCGACAACACTACTGCGACTACTGCTCTACTACCCCCCTGGCGAACTAGCCAAGTCTCGAGGTGAGAGTGTTTTGTTCAAGCTGAGGTGGCTTCTTTTTCTTTCTGTTCTCTCCCCTTTCTCTCTCTTTCTCATATATATACACATAATATTGGCACAATTTTTTGCCAATATTCATTTTATGCTGATGTATGAAATATATTGTTGATAGGATGTCGTGCTTAATATTTTATTATCTCGTAGATATAGTTTGAATTATTAACTTTTTCTATTATTGCTTGAGGTTATTTCAATAAAAAATTGAATTCTATAAAGTTTTGAATTTTTAAAAAATTGCGCGTCTAAAATATAATAATCGTTTCATAATTCAAACATTTAAAATACATCTGTCAGTACTTTTTGAATTTCAAAGAAATAATAACAATAAAAATTAATAATAAATATGTTAATCGTATAGTATGTTAATCATACCAATATATTAAAGACTCGTTTAACATTGATTTATTGTATTGTTAATGGATGGCCTTCAATCTCATTCATGCCTGACCATATTTGTGCTATTCTACTGAATACGCGAGATAGATATGAATGTATTTTGTACGTTCATAGATCATAAAAAAATATCGATTCAAAATTATTTGTTTTATTTTGATATTACATAGTTAATGGCTTTTAAAATCACGAATAGTTGTTCACAGTTGAATCTCTAAAAAGTAACTAGTAATATTGAAACAACTTTTTATTTCAATGATTTTTTTCTACTTATACATCAGAGTTCCTAAATATAACTTTTTTACTAGTCCTTATTCTTGAGGTTTAGTAGAGTACAAATTTGAATTTGTGAGCCACCCGAGCTACATTTGAATTACGTTTCTCGAAATGAATTTAATTTTCTCAAAGAGATTTAGAACGTGACAAGTGAAGACAATTTAGGTAAAAATCTGATAAAAATTATTCCGAATAATACAAGATACCCATAACCAACCCTCAGAATCGTACTAGTTCGCGATCAAACAATCATTAGAAATAATCATTCCAGAGCAAATACTTTCCTCTAAAAGATCAGGATCAAGTTTGAGTTAGTAATAGTACTATCCATGGATTCAGGCCAGTTGAAATGTCGGCGTCGATTACGGATTAAGGGACGACAGCCTCGAAAGATTATCGAGGAGAACATGAACACTGGCTAATACGATTTCATTTCGGAATAGGAGGACGGATGGTGTGCTGATATGGATCAGAAAAATCATTTGAGTGAACGTTAATTGTCGTGTAGATCTCAAAAAAACGCTCGACATTTATGTCTTCTCACCTTGTTCGGCATGTGATTGCATGCCATCGGGTTTTATATTAAACGTGACTAAAGTCAATCAGTAGCGTCACTCTTCTTTTAGATTGTTATTATCAAACTTATCTCGCGAATATATCTGTGCAACTGTATAGTTGTCATAATTGACATTTTCAACACGCTCGAAACTTTAAAATTACAATGTTATACCTTGAGTTTTCCGTTGTGACCTAATTAATTACAAGACTTGATATAAGCCTCTGAGCTATTACAATCGCCGTTGAGATTTAGTGAGATCAAATTTTTAAGGCTACATACTTCATTTAAAACTTGTGGTTACAAAAGAGAAGTAGGTCTTGCAATATAATTGTGCCACTGCATATGCATGTTACTTTTCACGCGTCTGAATTATTCATTCTGTTAGACTAGATTACTACGATATCAATAAATATTAAAAATACTTTAATGGCGAATAAAAGGAGTAAGAAAGAAATACCAAGATAATTGAAAAACAAAGTGAAAGTAAATTAAAATATTCTTTTTCTCGCTCTTTACGTTTGGATAAAAATAAAGATTATCTCGCATAAAACGTTCAACATATATATCATTTGTTTTTTAAACATACTTACGTATCACGTAGGTATACGAGATTATATTAAGACACCGTCCTCGTGCCCTCTGGTTAATACATGCTTTAACACAAGCACGGATAATCTTTGACTTTATTTACACTCTAAACCAACACGTCAAACGAGTTATGAAAGCTGTATTATTGCGGCAATGTCTACTTCATTCAAATTAAATGACTTTTGAGAACACACGAAATGACAAATAGACTTATACTCGTATTGTAACGCTAACCGCATATCTTCTTAATATTCAACTGTACACTACTAGTTTATTCATTATCTACTCCTTGCGGAATTTGGATTCATGTAAACACACACCGACACGTATTTTTCGCTGGAAACTTAAACAAGAAAACAGGAAAGAGCACGGCTCAACGCTTTTTCTCAAGTCAAACGCTTCTTGTATACGTCTGGAGCTGCCTGTGATGAAATCTATTTCAGTGGCTAATCTACAATAAATTTCTAGTCTCTTTTTGGTTTTTCCACGTCATTACGAAATTGTTTCGTGGGACTAGTTTACTGTAATAGTTTTTCGATTGGTGATTTTATATTATTTGTATGAGTTATTCTTAAAAAAATACATTATAAAATTGGCTTTCTAGACTAACTTTATTTATATATCTTATAAAAATACATCATCAATTTAAAAATAAAGCAATTTTACTATGATTTAAAGTTTTGATATTAAAAATTGCAAGAGTGGTTGTATCACATCTGCGTCGCTTTCTATCGTATATATAAGAAAAAACAAGGATATATTGTGGAAGAGTGATGCATAAATTGTAAAAGAACCTCTCAGCACCTCATATCCCAGTGAGGACGAGACTTATGGCGCGGTATTTCCGTGTCTTCGACAGATGATTTTCGTTCGGATATGCATGCACCAGTTGGTTAGCTTTTTCTCACGCTTGTTGATCTGCGCACCTACTTTTCAGTTTTTAACTTGAGGGAGGAGTGGGGGGGGGGGGGAGAAACTATTATTGCTCACTGCGATATAATCAAGAGAAAGAGAGCTTCGTTCGAAAAAATACAACAGTGTGAAAGTCGAGTGCAATTGTTTTTTTTCATTCTAAGAGTAATTTACTCTCTCACAAAAGAGAGCTAAGATTCCTACTTTTTTCGTATGTGGATTAAATTTTCATTGCTATTTTTTTCACAATGTTTGTGTATATATAGATTCTGATTATATGATTCTGTATATATAGATTCTGATCAATAGTAAGCGCATAGCAAGATAGTGATGTCAAGAGCTATTATGATTCAATGTTTATCAATATTCGAAAAAAACATGTTAACGTTTTATTTTATTTGCAGCACTTGGAATTTATACGGTATTTTAAATATGTCAACTTTACGACAGACAATCCATTTCAATATGATCATTCATCAGTCATATTTTTTTCAAAGCGTCTATAGACTTTTTTTGTAAAGAAAAGATCAATAATCAATTATGTCTTGACTGTTGAAGTAAAACCATCTATATGTACCAATGTAAAATACTCTCACCTCCCTATCGCTGAAGCTTAAAACTTGGTACATACAAGAAAAGAGTCTTGCGATTTCCGGCATCATCGTTCTTACGTTATTATCGATCTTACGCATATAACCATTTCAGTATTTGTGCTTACCCACACACACATTATTGCTGTATGCCACTGCTAGAACGATAAAAATTCTTTGAATGTTTATGTTTGACATTTGCAAAATCTATTTGTGCACATGTGAATTGATAAGCTTATCTACGAAAAAGTCAATAGTTATTTAATCATTCAAAATCAACCTTCTTCAAAAGTTTTTTCTATAACAGTGAATTCTTCCTAATTATTATAATATAAACTTGCTTTATATGAACAAGTCAGTTCTTTCTGTGATTAGGTAAGCGTGATATAAAAAAGAGCCGAAAAGCAACAAGATTTATCGTATACATGACAACGGAATTTAAAATTAGCAACGCTAAAAGGGAGAAGAAAAAACGATATACAGAATAGCTGTTTTTCTTTTGCTAGCGATAATGGCATGTGATCAACTCGTAACGTTCAAGAAACAAATTCTCTCTCCTGGTGTAATAAATAGCTTTAGTTCTGCCCATAATCTTTACCTTTTCCTCCCTACATGATTTGCGAGCTTTTGATAAATGGTGATTCCTTGACTATCGAATCAGTCTTCTCTTTAATTATAGTTTAGAATATATATATCTCGATGATTAATTAGTGCATTTATAGATAGCACATGTTCAAGTAACCTGTCGTAGTTTGTTCTTGATACAATTATAACATAAGAAAATTCACCGTACTAAAAATATTTCTCAATTTTAATTGTAGAAAAAAATAATGAAAATATATATTTCTGTCAAACGAGAATGAAAAAGAGTCAATATTAATGGGTAAACGGCGTTTAATAAAAATCCATCCTTTCTCCTCTCTCTCTCTCTCTCTCTCTCTCGAGTCATAGAAGGAGAGAGTAATCGAAAACACTTGACTCCTCTCTTCTAAAGTATCGGCGCGACAAAAAAGCAGAAGAAGGACGGGAAATGTTTGGCTCAGAGGAAAGCTTTTCAGATTCGTCATGACTGCACTTTTTTCTTTGTTTTACTCGAGGCCCTTTTTTTTCAGTGGGAACAAAGGAAAACAAGTGGCCGATCACAACAAATCCCGTAAAGACTACTGCTCCAACCGTGGATGCTTTGCTTATAATGAAGGCCCTTGACAAAGAGCTAGTATATATGAGTTTTTCGTGTATTTTATCTACACTCGTGCATTGTTAAGCTTTTATCGGAAGTACAAGCTTAAGAGGTTAATGTACAATCACCGATGGTATCTGGATAGATCGATAGCTTGTGGATTGTTGTTAATGTACTAAAAACTTGGTTAACTCAATATCATATAAACAAGTTGTTTTTATAATTATTATATAATGAACTATATAATATTTTATAATTATTATATAAT